ACACGCAAGGCCTGTTGCTGACAGCCCATGGCGGACCGAGGTGTCGTGTATGGGCTGTGCACACAGCCCTTATCATTGGCGCCGAGTCGCCCCTTGCACCTACTTAGTCACAGCAAACAGCTCGAGCGCATCCACGAAGAGGCCACCACAACGCAGTCCCATGTCACTGCGCTTGCACAGCTTTGCCAAGCGCTTGGCTCCATCCATTTTCCTGAAGGCCTGGGCTGCTACTCCATGATGAGCCAGGCAAGGAAAGAGCTGGGCAGAGCAGGGGGACCCGTGTGCAGAATTAAGAGCAGAGCAGACGTTTCAGAGCACTGCCCCATCCAGACAGCTCAGCGGGAGGCAGGTCAACATGAAAGAAACAGGCAACAGCTGAAGCCAACATCCAGATCAAGTCATAAGCTTTGATGATCTCTTCCTGTAGCTCTGATGTCATGGAGTCATTCACGTGCTCACCGTAACTCACAAACTGGACTATTGAATTGACTGGGGCTCCTCCGGAGCACAGCGTTAACAACATGCATGACTGCAGAACTGAAGCCTTAATTACCAAATCACATGTTGAAACTTTAGCGAAGATCCCATCAGTAAGTCACAGTGTCACTGCTTCAACTCACAAACCTCTAGATCTAGACTGAAGGGGGAAAAAAAATAATACTCCCAAGTTGCATGAGTTCTGATAGAACATACTAAAAACTGCTTCGGGGCAGATATAATGCACAGGTATTGCCTCTCCCAATATGATGCACAGGTATTGCCTCTCCCAAGCATCAGAGCTACCATGGGCACCTTGGGACATGGGCTAGGAGGGGATCTAGCTGCTAAAAAGGCAGCTTCTCTTATTTAAGGTAAGCAAATTCAGTCATCAGCAACTGTAACTCCAAAACTTACCTTCAGAACAACGGAATCATATACATATCTAGATATACATATGTACATATTGTTTATTTAGCATTTATAACATGACCATTTTTTCCTAGTCTTGCAGCCAGCTTCACTCCAAGGTCTCTCTCCTGCTCTTCCCCAATCCTTTGCCCACAATATAAAGAGCCCAGATGGGGCTCCTTCAGCCTTTAGGGGTCAAGAAGCTGGCTGCTCTAGCTGGATCATCTTCTGATCCTGACTTCAGCAGCTCGTGCTGGGCAGGGGAGCAAAGGACCATGATCCGTCAGCCAGATGCATGGACCACACACTCAGACAAGAAGGAAGGAGAACACATGGCATTTGCAGCTTTGGAGCACCCACCAGAGGCGCTTACAAGCTGCATCTAGAGGAATCATCCACAGTCCGCAGCAGTCAAGGCCGAGACAACGGGAAGGACACCAGCCCGTCAGACAGCAGCCAAGCCGCAAATGGGAGCCGTCATCGCCGCCTAGCTCTGCAGTTTACCACCCAGCCACCTTTCCTCATTCCATCAGCTTGTCCAAGGAGGGCCGAGATCTTTTTGTTTCRAGCTGGAGAGGCTCAAGGGTGGAACGCAAGCTTCAGCAATGCAGACAATTATCCACCCTATTCCCACCTCTCCCTTTGGTCTGAGCTCATCTCATCGGGAGGCTTTACACAGGATTACTACTGCTTTTTAAAGAGACTGAGAACACACAGCTCTGAGTTTACAACTGACACTTTCTTTAGTTTATTTGTCCCTCATTTCAAAACAACTTTATGAAGGATGTCACCATTTTCAAGGACTACTAGGTTGTTTTCTGATACCAAGATGCTGAAGACCAACAAGGAGAAAGCCCTACAAGAATTTAGGTCTTCACAGATGGTGCGAATTCACTCTTAAATCTAAGACCAAAGAGGTGGCCAAGCAGCAGATCAGGGATACCTTAGTCAAGCTTTGGAAGTTGATCCCCTGGGCTTTTTCCTTGGTGAAGAAAGTCCTTCCTATTTACTGGTGGTTGCTACTTATAAAAGTTTAAGCTAGTTTACTGGAAGCTTGGTTTTAACAGCAGTCCTAGTGAGGTGAGGCCATTTCAAACCCTCAAAACTCCCTTCATCGGACTATTTTCAGCTCATCACATGAAGAGCAACCCTGCCTCCCAAGTGCTACAAATGCTGTGCACCCCATTAACCTACTTTTGGTTGACAGGATCAACTAGTAACAAACAGTAAGGAATTACATAAATTTTATGATGGATAGCACACATCTAGAGAAGTCTACTTACCATAACCAGAGAGGCTATGGAACCTGCACTACCCCTCAGAAAGCTCTTCAGTGACTGCAGACTAAGCATCTTAGTTCTTGGGTTTTGTCCTGCCTTGCTGCGCTCTAAGTCATGTTGATCACTTCCAAATACAACCACTCCGTATTCTTTCTTCAGCAGGGAGCAAAATCAATGGTTTAGAGAACAAAAGCAATGAAAAAACTAACACTGGTAGTTACACAGCAACCAAATAAAACTTTTTTTTTTAAATGCTGGCTTGAATCTTCGCTCTGGATCTTTCAATTCAATCATTTATGCATCCACCCGGTGCCTCCTCTGTAGGCTCAGCAGAACACGCKTACCATCTACAAGAAGCAAGTGCACCCAATCATGGGATGAGTTGGTTTTTCCTCCCCATAGTTTGGGGGTCAAAGAAAAATGAGTGCAGTCACATCAACAACTTGCCAAGCGATGTGTCCATCTCTTACAGGAGATATAAGAGAATAAGAGATATTCATTGTAAATATACATATGGCCATCTTAAAGACTATTGGGTTTCAGATGGGCAAGAAGAGTCAGTACATTAGATCCATCTCCTCCTTGAGAAGTGCTGACGTCAGCATCTGACTATAAAGCAAATGCTCAACTTACCACACAATGGAAAAAACAGGGAGTCAGGCTGAGAGGAGACCAGAACCAAAAGCTCTGCTGCCAAATTGGAGGAGGAACAGTAAAACACAGGATAAGTCGCTTCTGCCACGGAAGTCTCTGAATGGTCAAAGGTCTCATCTCCTTTGATGACAGAGGCCTTGTGCTCTTGCACCAGAACAGGGTCCAGCATGGCAAGGCCAACAGAGAGCCCACTACAGTAAGGACAGATCTTAGCACCGTCTTAATCGGAACATCTAAAGCAGAAAGCAAACACTTGCAAAAGGCAAGTACGAAGCCTGCTGAGAGCCTATACACAGCTAAGACCCGAAGGAGGCAGACCATCAGGATTACTCACTGTTGCCCACAGATCAAGGCCTATTTTCAAAGCACAAGCCAAACATAGCAAAAAAATGAAGATTACATAAAGCTGCTAGAGGCGACAGCAGAGAAGAGTTTAGAACTTAGGTATGAGGAGCAAAGGAGACTAGTCATGAGAGAAGAGAAACACAGCAAGAAAGACAAGCTCTAAAAGAGTGTGTAAAGGCACTAAAAGAGTGGGTAAAAGCTAAAGGGAAAAAAAATAAAAAGAAGGCAATCAAGGCACAATAAGTTTAACAGAATTATTTAATGGTGATCAAATTCCAACACATTACAACAGCACAGGTAGATAATGTTAGATCTATTCACACACACTTCCAGATGAGGGTAAATGAGGGTAAAGGTAGGGGCAGCWAGATGGCAGTTGTAGGAATTTCTCCTAATACCTCCAATTGCTGTTACTCACGAGGGGGCTGGTCTTCGCAGATCCAGAATGCTGGACAGCAGGTTTTTCCTGTTTTTAATCCTCCACTGGGCTCCCTTCAAAGCATTTCTTGTCCCCTTGTATTCCCTGGAGTAAACAGCTTCTGCCAAGCCCAAAACAACTAACATTTGCCACTTTCGTCATGATCTTGTTGCAGAGTTGAGCCTAGGCAGAGGAGCCAGAAAACGTAAGGGAAAGAGCTTAAAGGCTGGGGCTGAGTGTTTTTCTGCTCGACGAGGAGTCTGAGAGGGAGAATTGCCTCGGGTGTAAGGAATGGGGGCAAAATTGCTCCCAGGGCAGATAAGTGGTTATGTCAAAAGGCGCCTTCCCTCTACTCCACTCCAGTATCTTTAGGGGCTTTTGTTCCTGTAGCGGGAGGCTTCTAGGCTGGGCCTGGGCAAAGCCAAGGGGCCAGCCTGCCCAAAGCCAAGGGGCTCCCCAAGCTGCAGCAGAAGGGCTGCTGAGCATGTTCAGTGAGGCTACTTTGTCCTGTTGTTCTGAGTCTTTAGAGCAAGAAAACATGGGGACAGTAGCTGCGTTGAGCAGGACCCCTCCCACTCACCACRTGCCCAGGTGTTCTGCAAGGCTTCTCTGCAGGGACCAGAGCTGCTCTGGGCACAGGACGAACACAGTCCAACACAGCARAACACTCATCCTACCCTCAGGCTTCTGATCTTTTATCACTTATTGGAAAGGAGATGAAGGAGAACAGCTCAAAAGAGTTTTGCTGCTGTAAATAGTAAAGAAAATGGCTAAAGAGGGTCAGAAGAGTAGCCAGCTCCTTCTGTCCCCAGCTGCTGGTAGGAAAGCTACCACTTGGCCTCAAGTGGCAGGGGCCAGGTTACTGCTCGATTTACTGAACACGGTAGACACACACAATCATATCTAGCTTAGTTTCACTGTGCTTAGCTACATCATTTCACGCGTGCAGACAGCAAACAAAGAGCCGCAGACACTTCAACATGCAGCTTAGTTCAAAGCATTGGAAGAACAAAGCAACCTCAACGGCAAGTGGCTCTTGCATTGCCAAAAGGCTACGACTAAGAAACACTGTTAGTACCTCCTACCTAAGAATAAGCTAGATCTATCACGTAGAGTCCGCCAGTACAGTCTAGGCTCAGCTTTGTGCTGCCARCTAGGAGGCTGGAGTCTACCCAAAGGCCACGTCACCTGCTGGGCTCCCTGGCACGCCCTGCATGCAGGGCAGCAGCCACCGAGCCAAGCTGGGGCGTCGCGTCCCCTCGTGTGCGAGCAGGACAGACGCACGAGAGCAGCCCCTGCAAACCCCAGGTGCCAACGCCACACAGCACACGTGGGCAGATGCACTGCCAAATAATCCGGCCGCTCGATGCGGGCAAAGGTCCTCAGAGATTTACATAGCACGTGGCTCACTGAACTCAGAGTCATTTGTTCCCCGGCTTGTTCTGTTTTAGGAGATGGGTGTTGASGAACACATCAAATGCATCCAGTCACGTAAGTGTTCCAGCTTTACGTCATTGCCGGAGTTAGAGCAATCCAAATAGCTGAGGAGTAACTTTACAAAATAAACCTTGCTTAAGCACACAGCAAAAGGAGAAAAGGAAATTGAATAAGCACTTACTATCTATGTCCATAGGAGTCTCAGTGCAAAGACAGTCATGCAAAGTAGAGAACTATCAAGTCAAAGAAAAAAAAAAGTGACTGAAAAATGCTTCACTCAACAACCTGAGCTTCTAGAAAGGCAACAAACTATCTGCRGCTTCCTGTACTGTTTCATGCTTTAAAACAYAGCTGGGCACTACAAGGGTTTTTARAGAGCAGGTCCACAGGACCATTCCCTGCCCTGGGAACGACCATGACAGATGGCACTTGCAAGGTTCTCTGGTTTGCAGCACCCTCCTCAACAAGCTGCCAACCCACAGGAGAGGCAGCCCAGCCCGTCCTGCGAGGCTTCCTCTGCCCAAGCCATGGCTTYTGTGATGCCACCAGAAGAAGAGAACACACAAAACAACAACAAAACCCCACAACCCCRAACTGCTAAGGTGCTTCGGCCAAAAAACGTCAATCCCTTCACCACAAGGAAGCGTTAACGCTGTATGTGAGCTGAGGTTGTCCACGCACCCAGAACCTGTTACAGTTGATATGTGGTTGCAATGCTGTCACCAAGCACGTGCTGCTGCTTCTGCACCTTCCCAGAGAGGGAAGTATCGCCCTCATCTTCTGTACTTGCTACTATTCCTTGCTTTTGCTCTCCAGCTTACAGCTCTTGTGCAGGTCTCCTGACCGGCTCCAGGCCTCAGCAGCTGCAGTTACAAGACAGACCTGTCCCCAAAAATGCTCTTGTAAAGCAGTAAAGGGAGCCCGCCCAAAACACCTTGCTGCTAGGCGTGCAGCAGCTCCAACCCAAACCTGCTTGTACATCTCAAAGAAAACACGACCACCCCCTCCCCAAAACCTGGATGGGTGTCTTTGCAGCAGCTGGTTCACGTTCTCTCCCCACCACCAAGGGGTCAGCAGGAGCGCTAGCCTACACGTTAAGACAGAGGTTTAGCAAGAAGGCCAGATTACAATTAATRGTTAATACAACATTAAGTTCAGGCAAACCTGTAGCTACTAACCTGCTTTCTAATTTTGCCACTGCAGYAGTTTTCACTTTAGAGGCTACATTTCCATGCAGGGCCATGCTTCTCATATAGAAAGCATCAGATGGCCTACCACCCAAAAGACTCGTGGTGTAACATCAAGTACTGAGTTTGAAAGGACTCAACAACCAGCTCATACCTCTGCACAGCACATTTCCCCCAGCATCCCAGTAGCTCTGGATCATCCCTGCAGTCTTCACGCCTGCAGGAGACRCGCTCACATCCAAGTCTCATCTACAGCTTGCTGTACAGAAGACTAAAAGAAAAAAAACACCCCAAGCACACCAACCTGCTAACATTTACATCCAGAAGCGTATACACAAGGACACTGAGAGATGAGACGAGTGGAACAGGTTTAGACCAAAAGCAGTGGACATTTATTCCTCATTTGTGCAAGAGTGTAAAGATGCATTTGAAAATGGATGGGACAGACCCCTGTGGCCAGAGAGCTGGAGGCTACAGCCTCTCCTTTAGAGTTGATGGCTTTGTTTACAATTATCTTAAGAGGAGATAAACTTGTAGACTCACCTATTTCACATGAATGATGCTGGCAAATACACTTGTATACAAAGGAAAGTTTCAAACTACATGGTTCACTAGATTCAAGTGAAGATTTTTGTTCAAAAAAGACACATACAAGTACAATTTAAAACTGTATGAACATTTGCAAATGTTTAGTGCAAAGTAATTATGTAAAAGCTACATTTTATGAAAGTTTGTGCTGATGTGTTTGGTAATTCTTTTTTTACCCTTTTACATCCATTATTTTAATTACATAAGGTTTCACTTACCTACAGTACATATGCATTGTGTTAAATCCCATGCAAGTGGGAATAATACCATTAGGCTTTGTAAAATGTCACTCAGATTCTCATTCAGTAAACTGCTTATTTGGTTTAACAGTCGAGTTCCTGGCACACTACACATCTTCATTTCACCTAAGTTTTTAAGCTGTCTGCCTTGTTCAGCTGCATAGCCTTGTGTGATGCAAACCAAATTGCTTCATGATTTTCAAATGCAACCATTTGAACGCTGAAGTTTTAAGGAAATCCACCATTAGTTTTAGCCTGTAACAAACTGCTCTTAAAATTAAAAGCCTATTCACACAAAGTTATATGTAATGACTGTAGTAATCAGTTTATTACACAGATTAATCATTCTTGAACGTACAAGCTCCAGGGGAGCGGTTGGGTCTTTAAATATACACAAGTTTTCTGTCAAATGAATTTTTACCCTTACATCCAGAAAGACCTAAGCAGTTAAAAAACTTAAGAAAAATAAGAGCTATTAGCTATGTATTAACTGAGAAACCACATACAAACCAAAAAAAGTATGAGGGAGGGAAAAGAGTTGAAACAAATCAACATCACTTGATGCACTAATAGCTCCAATCCATTTAAATGCTGACCAGTTAAACTTAGACCTTAAACACAGGATGTGGGTACAGTTTCTCATTGGTCATAACATTTACCTAAGGTGTAGGTCCTTCAGAATAAAATGAATACAGAAACAGCTTCCAAGTTCTTCACCTTGCTTTTCATAACTGTTATGAGTTTAAAAGGATTCCGCTTAAAATCCTTCATGGATAGGCAAAACTGTCCCTAGGAATATTATAGCACCCACCAGAACTCTCCCATTCACACTGCATTACCCAACTGAGGAATGCTTTTAGGCTCACAAAGTTATGACTGAAGAACTAGCTTTTCACACACACTCACACACACACACTTCTTTGCTAGGAGTCGATGTTGGTACGGGGAAATACAGTATTTCTATTTTGTTGTTCCAAGTATGTACAACACGCAGCACTGCTGTATCAGGTAAACATGTGCACAGGGGAAGATGAGGCGTGGGCTCATAGAAAGCAGTCAAATGGAAATCAAAAGGACTTTCTCTTTCAGAGTTCCCCTATCTTTATTTGTAGAGGTTATCCAATAATTTCTTTAATTACATCGCATACTTCTGAGTCCATTCCCGAGCTATTCTGTTGTACCTGTATGTATAAAAAGAGGATTTACTCAACATAACATCCAAACAACAGTGTATTTCTACTCCATGCAGTCTAGTCTATACATGGCACCAATTTCAATTCCTCCAGTAACACAAGTTTGTCAAATTTAGGAGCAAACTGAAGCATCAGGCAAACAGGAGGGCAGCTAATGATCCACCCTGCTTCATGGAAAAGAAAATCCCCACAGAAACAAACTGGGCATGTCTACAAAATGACCTAAAGACCTTTGTGACTAAACCCACAAAAATGTCAGGGCATATTTCAGAGGAAAACATCTTCAGGTAGTCTTTATCYGTTCTCTCCCTTCCTGAATATCTTTGGAGAAACTATTACTCCATACATTCAATTTGGCATTCGGGAAAAAAAATCCAAATTATTATCTTCTTCCCATCCCAATCTTCCACCCTAAGTGTTAAGATTAAGTCTGAGTCCTCATGCAGAGCAGGCAGCAAAGCCCAACAGACTCAACAGCCTTTGGGGCTGCTTTTTTTCGTGCCATCTACCACACCTGGCTATTTTGATGGCTAGAGGGCACGGAGTTTGTCCACCTCAAGGTTTTATACTGAAGTACAATACGCTCCTCTTTGAGCCAACTCTTTTTGCACTAAAACACCCTTTASAGCCAGTCACATCCAGAGGAGGCTCAGAATAGATATGTAAAGCAGAGTTAATTACCATGATTAAGAGTACTAATAAAAAGCTCTACTGCTCACAATACAAGCTGTTCTCATTCTACGGAGTTTTTAGGGGAAAAAATAGGACACCATGACTCTATGGCGGCACAGTTTTATGCCACTATATATTATGCCAGATATACCACATATAGTGGTAGAGTTTTCTATTCACATACCTTTACTAATAATATTGATTGCAGCTCTGTGTGTAGAAGCAAGCTCTCTATACCCAGAAGTTACAGAAACTGCCCGTGAGAAGCACGAGAGCAGTGTCTGAGTTTACTCAAAAGTCAAGTTACAGCATAGTCAAAAGCTTTCATTTGAGGGGAAAAAAAAAAGAGGAAAAAAGTGCCCTGCACATATTATAGGCCAGTCGGGCACTGTTAACCATGTCCCCAAAGACAGACTGCTCCTCTTGCAGCTTTCCATTAAAAGCAGGCTGCATGTACTTCCCTAACCCTCCTTTTCAGTCTTGCAGTATGAGCAAGTTTCTGAATTATTTCCCTTTCCTGCCCGTCTTACTTGCATTAGATGACCATGTAACTTCAGAAATTAACCCCATTGATCTGATTTGGAAGGGAACAGGGAGATAGAAGAACGTTCACAACAGTCCTTAAACTGCCGCTTTCAAAGCGGTTTAAAGCTCTTCATTAGTACTGGGTCCTCTCTTTTTACTTTAATTTTGCTTCACAACAGGCTTGCAAATCCTCCCATCCCATCTCTACATCACTTGCTCTTCACTTATATGGTCAAATAAAGGCAAAACAAGGCATTTTTGTTATGTTCTTGCTCGCTCAACTCCACTGCTAATATCTAGCATGGAAATATTTTCCCACTAAAGTAACTTGCTCTCCCTCTGCTGGTTACATGGTATTAAAGCACACAGTGATGCTCTGCATTATTGTGCACTGAGCACTTCCATTAAACTACATCAAGCAAACGTGATTAACACTAATGAAAAATTATTTTGTGAGGCAAGAATCTTCTTCCGTGGGTAACAAATCCACAAAAGTACAAGATCCCCGTGTACGTTCTTCCGAAGGAAGATCCACCTTGCTCCTAYAAGCAGTGCTGTTAAAATAACTGTACTAAAACCCCAGGAATGTCACTACAAAGATTAAAGGTAAATAAATAAATACATCAAAGATTAGACGTTTCCCCAGAGCCTCTTTCCAGATCCTCTTTACTGTTTAAGTGTGGATTCTGCTCCAGCAAGGATGTTACAAGCTCTTGGCTTCCATACTCACTTTTCTCTATCTGTTTTGTAGATCCGTGCAATCTCAGGCACTAAAGGATCATCTGGATTGGGATCACACAACAGAGAACAGATGGACAAAAGTACTAGGGAGAGAAAAAAAAACAAAACACTGTATTAGAGTTTAAGTGCAGCTGAAGACACCTGGAGAAGTAAATTCAGCCTCTGTTCTTCCCCCTTAGTCCTAGGTATCCCTGTTAAGACACCAAACAGCAGTCAGTCCCACACACTCGAGCCTAGTGACTTTGCACAAGAGATTCTTAACTGTTTAAGTCTGCAGCTTTGCATGAGCACAAGTTTGATCAAGTATTACCACAACAAATGGGAACCTCTGGGACAGGAGTATCTGCTTATAGCTGTAAAAATCACAAGTCAATAGAGCTCCATTTGTGAAGGTTGCAGGTGATGTTTCAAAGTGCCCCTGCTTTTACATTTGAAATGCTGCTTTTGCCAGCCCAGATAACCCCCMTCAGTGCCACAGAAGCACTAATCAAAAGTCAAAGCGTGGAGACACCCAGGAAAGGAGGAAACCTGAACTGCCGGCAGCTGTTTTATTGCTGCTCTTTAATTCTCTGTGCAAAGCTAGGACTTTAAGTGGCTTTGTCCAGTTATTTTCTCAGCATAATGTGGGTTGAGATCGTTTAATCGTAAAACAGTGCTCAACACGAACTAAGAAAGCCCAGCTTACTGTATTCCTACCAGTCACCACAGTGCCTTAATGCTTTTACTGTAAGTATGTACTGTATATATTCCAGAAGCCCTATCTTGCTCAAACAACAATGCCTCATGTAGCAACAGCCTCTGTTAGGAGGTAGAAGGTTGCCTGCAAAGCACACGCRCATTTCTGCGTTGCAAAGGGGGCAAGAAAAGGCAGCAAGTCACGAGCAAAGAACACAGGAGTGTGCTACACACTACACTGACGGGGTATCGGGGCTTCTTGTCCCTCAATAATGGGCAAACCACCCTCCGAGGAAACAGGTTGCGGAGAAGTGGTACAGACAACATCACTCCATGTGTCCCTTTCACCACTAGTAGAGTTGTCACAACGCATCCTAAAAGAAAGCCAAAGATAACAACAGGTTTTATTTTTAAAGCCTGAAGCTATAAACGCTAAAGCAATGAAACTTCCCTTGGCTGCTGCTGTTAAAGGGGAGCAGATGAGGCAGAAATATCAGTGCTGAAAGATGTGAGCTGCAAGTCAGAGCCCAGCATACGTTTAACCTTGCTTCACTCTTTAAAAAAGGTAGTGCTGAGTAGAGTGCACAAAACAAAGGAGAAAGATGCAGCAGGAGAGACACTGGGGAAGTCTGACAGTCGCTTAAGCTGGGCAAGTTTAAGTTAAGATTAAAAACTAGCTAAGCTTCCACTTAACTGAACTAGTTACTAGATAAGCTGCACAAATACGGTGGACCAACAACTCTCAGTAACCCAAATCAGCTCAGCTTTCTGGATACTTCATACAGGTCACATATRACCTGCCTGAACTCGATCTAAGCAAACACACTTCTTGTTCTGGAACTGAATATCCTTTTGCAAGCATCTGCTCCAGATYTGAGCAAGATGCCACTGAGATCTACAGGCACTTCATGCTCTCCACTAGAAGGAGCCGTTCATTCTTCAACACACAAGACATCAAGAAACAAACCCTCCAAGACAGTCCTGATCAAATTTTGAAGACAACAYAATCATGCCCAGGTAGTTCTAATAGGAGTTCCAGATACGTAAGAACTCAGCCTTCTCTCACTAGCTTGTAAGAGTCTTCTATGCTTGTACAAAAACCCTGCTCAGCCAAATCCTTATAGCAAGTGGGTCACACACCCCAGAAAAGCATCCAAGTCTCTACTGCAAGCGCCCCTAGGAAAAGCAGCAGCTTTCAGGCTTCAGCAGCGCTGCACCTGAAAACAGCACAAAGGYTTATCCTTGCAAGTGTCAAACTTTTGCAAATAAAAATAACAGGTTAAAAAGAAGAGACCTGAGAGGACTGGATCTCAAGTCCTTTGGTGTCAGTCATCTCTTGCTGTTCATAAGAGCACTGCTCAAAGAAAAAGCAGGTTTTAAAAGGGACTAATTTCCAGTGGCACTAGGTTCATTATTTTTTGCTGTGCACTTGTAAGTCACAGCTTATTGATTCTCTGCCATCAATTGCCATTTGGAACATTTATTCAAATCCTTCTCTGAACATGGCTTCACATTACAACCAAGGTGATTCACCCTTCACAGACAAAACCTGGTTTTGAGCCTGATCAACTTTCTTTTCCTGCTTTCCCCACCATGGCAATAGCTCCATTGCCCATGGGACAGGCCATTTTCCTCAGGCAACAAGAGTCAAGTCGGCTTTTCCCTCAAGAGGAGGGAAGGAGGAGTTGATTTGAGCCCTAGCCCAGGAATTTCACATCTCTGCTTACGCCTAAGGCGAGCAGCTCCGTGCTGCTTCCCGGCCAGTACAAACCTCTCACCGTGGATAAACCTCTCACCGTGGATATCCCCTTTTTCCTAAAGCAGGCAGTGATTTGTTAGTAGCTAAACACTTTCAGTGATGACTTGCAGTGACCTAGTAAATTAGAAAAACCATTTCACCATTCAGGACTTCATTTGCATTAAAGGAGCACTCCAGGCACCTAACAGACACCAGCATTGCTGCTACTCTTTCTTTTTAAAGCTCTTCTCCATTATACTTCCTCTGAAGTGGTTTATTAGCCTCCTGAACCCAGGTATTTGTCCAATATTAATTCAGGAAGTCGCTCTGCTCAGGTTTCTCTTCAGAGAACTCCACATACTCCCATGTTTTTCACCAATTAATATAAGCAACCTGCCTTATAAGCTCTTAGAGAATTCCGCTCATGAAATTTAAGGTGAGAAATGCAAGGGGAAAGATGGAGGAAATAGCGAGAACAAGCTAGTTATGCATATGAGTTCTCCTCTGATACCTGGAATCGTTGATTAAACCAGCACTCTCCAGACCCCCATGTCCCGCAGTGCAATTCAACATCACTGCAGTGAAGTCCACAGCACGACTTTGACATTTACTAGTCATTTGAYTACAAGACTAGCACGAGAAAGCACTAAAATATAAAGCATAAACAACAGTCCACGAAATGAAGTCTTGTGCCCACAGAATTGGAGTCAAGCAACTACACAAGAGGGGCAAGTCACCAGCAATGCTGCTTTGCACCACACTTTTCAAGCACATCCTTGTCCCATGTGACGACAGGTGAAGTCCACTCCAGTGGTACCAATTTGGCAGCATCCCTAACAGAGTCTTTCAGCGAATGGAATACACAAGTTGTGCGGTTCTGWGGTGAAATCTGGATTTTTGACAACATTAGCAAAATAAAACTACACTGTCCCCCAATTTAAGGAGTTCTCAGATACAAAGCTGTTTTCTCACCTCTTTAGTTTTACCTGTAAAGTAGTCCAGGTTGCAGCAAAACACTAGGCTCAAACAGCCAAGTTTGAGTTTCAAGTTCCCTCTGATTCACAAACTGATTTAGCTCAACTTTGTTTGCTGATTAACTCCTGAAAACTTCAACTCTGATCCTCATCTACCTACTGCAGACAATGCAGAACAGCTTAGCCTTTAGCAGACTTACTGCTATAAACTAGCATGGAAAAAGTTATTTCATGACACCTAAATGAGGACCTGGTAGCAGGGAAGAAAGAAAAAAGAAAAAAATTAAGAACAGTAGCATTTTCTGGTTAAGTAATGGTCTTAGCTTTCCCTAGCATATTTATAAAAGGCCACTCTCATCAAGCCCATTATTTAGCATCACGAATGCTCCAGAAATAAGTTTGAAACAAACCAAAATCCACTAGTGTTATGCTGCCCATCTGCAATTCTCTGATGCACRTTTCCATTGCAAGACTTCCCTTGAAAAGGCACAGAGAATGATCTGAAATCCAGGGACTTAAGCTTTACTCAACATGGACTTTACATGCAGAGAACTGCATCCCTTGGAGCTTGCCAACGATCTACAGTTTGTTGGATGAGACTCTTCTTCTCGGAGGGCTTCAGGACAGAGCTCAAGTCAGCAGAGCAGCACTGACATTTCTGGTGAGTGATTTTGTCTTTCCGGCTTTTCCAAATCACAGACTGAATTTGCATCTACCTGCAGGGAACTCCCTGGCTGGGTCTCTTAAGAACATAAGAGTGGAACGCAAATCGGTTCAGCCATTCATGGGGACAGAATTCCTAAGATGAGCTCCCTATGGACCTCTTGCCTCCCAGCACCAGCTCAGCAAGCAACAAGGAGCACAATTAACATCACCATCTGTCTACCAGAACATGCTATTGGCACAAAGAAAGCCAAGAAGCCTGAGAAGCTCCTGGATCTCAGAGGCAAATAAGCTCAGAAGCCCCAAGCTCCAGCTGGAGTGAGAGCTCCACAGCCAAGACGACCTTTTTTGCAGTGTCCCAAGAACAGTTGGAAGTAGAGATGCCTGGTTATTCACACAGGGCAGTTTGCTTGGGCTCGTGGCAGGCAAGATTTTGTAAGCAGGAAACTCCCAGGGCAGATATCATGTAATTAAGAAGCAGTTTGGCACCTCCAAGGTTTGCAGTCATGGCTCAAAGACCTCTTTAGGTTCAGAAGTCCCAACACAGAAAGCTTCTGCATTTCAGAAACAACTGGTCTRAGTCTCCTCCTAGGCCGACAGGCAAGACTAGACACAATTAAAAATTTCTATTTAAGTCTGGTTAGAGCATGAGACCCTTCCAGATGGGAGACCCCAAGGCTGCATCTCCTGGATTCTTTAGATACCAGCACTCCCAAATGCCAGTACAGAGCTTGTTCTGGCCTGTCACCCTACACAGCAGGGAGGCTGATAAATATAGAAATAGAGACACTTCTCAAAGAAGTCCAAGACGCCCTGCAAGGCGGGGATTCCAAGACACTGCCAAAGGAATCGATGTTTATCTCCACGTTCTCAATGGAGAAACAGCTTGCACAATTCAAAACAAAGCAATCAAGCCTTATCTGCAAAGCCCAACAATTCCAGCTGTCCCTGCAACACAAAATACTAGCAGGTGCACACAAAACCCGTGATTTAAGTCTAGCTAGAACTTTGAGAAACAAGGCAGTTGCTCCAG